ATTTTGAGAATGATCCCAATCAGTAAATGTCGACGTAAATAAATCTGCCTCCAAATCCTGGGTGTCATTTTGGTGTTTCTGTTTGCCATTGCATCATCTGATGGGGGCCTTCTTACTGCACTGTATATGACAGAAGGCAGCATATGACAGGAAGGGCCAAATTCATCCTATTCTCAGGAACCTATCCTATTCTCAGGATAAATTACCCACTTTGGCCATAAGAGCACAATCCCACGCTTGAGGGCAAAGCCCTCATGGTCTAACTTTCTTCTAAAGGTCCTACCTTTCAAACACTGTTGTACTAGAGATTAAATTCCCAACAGATACCCATTGAAGGAGATACTCAAATCACAAGGCGTTGGGTAGGAAACAGCCTTCCTAGACCCTGGAGCTGGGGGGAGAAATGAGGCTTGAGGGTGCAAGGGCATTGTCTCCACTTTCTTATTTTGGATGCCTTGAAGATGTAAATTTAATTTAAAAACCAGGGAAGTTTGATTTTTATACACATTCCCTTGAGAGGAAAAGTATAGGTGAATTAAGTTCTTCCAGATGGGTGACCTTGAGTCCTAAATATGAAAGGGTAGTAGTAGAGTCAACAAGAAACTTGGGGGAAGAGTTGTAGTTCAGTGGCAGAGCACATGCCTAGCTTGTATGAAAACAAGGAAGGAAAGAAGGGAGGTAGGGAAGGAACTGTGTTGGAATGGATGTGTGTGATTCTTAGCAAATTTCTTTTTTTTTTTTTTTATGTATTTGGTACAGGGTCCCTTTATGCAGTTGGGACTCCTAATGATCCTCCTGTTTCCAGCCTTGCTGGAACTGGGATTACAGGTGGGCACCACCATGCCCAGGCTCACTGGCCTACTCAGCAAGCCCAAAGGCAGGGCTGGCACAGCATGTGGTACTGGAGATTGAACCACGGTCCCTGCGCTTGCCTAAATAGGCTTTTAGTACACTGAGCTATCTCACCAACCCTCCACAAATTTTAAGCAGTGTGTATAAGGAAGAAATTAAAAGTAGTCTTGTCTGTCTCAGGTATGACAGGTGTTTTCCCATTTGACATTTTTCCCTTAAGATTTAGTTATATTTAAATTTGTGTTGCTATTCAGGAAGCTTAACTTTTATGTTCTCAAATTCATTGACTTTTCTTAACTGCGTTGTGTTTAGAAAGATCTTTGTTCTAATTTATACAAATAATGCATCTGCACTTTCTTCTGGAACTTTCATGGTTTCATTTTTTGAAGTTTTGATTCCTTGAAGTTTTAAATTGGCAGTAACGAGTTATTTTAGTATAAGAAATCTTTACTGATCCAGGTCTATTTTTAAACTATTTATTTAATAATCCAATAATCCAGTTGGCTTAACAGGCAATCTCTGTCACATCCTAAATTTTCATATGTAAGAACATATGTGGGCTCTATTTTCATCCTTTAATTTATTCTCGCATCTCTGAATTGTTTAAATTATGCTAGTTTTAGAATAGATTTTATTAATATAGATTTAAAATAACATTTTCAAGTATATAAATATTAAAATACATAAGCAAGTGGGTATCATTTAAATGATTTTTTCCAGCAGTTATTTCTGAACTATTTTTCAAAAGCTAACTATACTTAGGTTTTAATTTTATAAAATCAATATGCAAATAGTGTGAGGCAATGAGTAGTACAACAGTTCTCGAAATGTTACCACTCAGCATCACCTTGCTAAAAATATAAATTTCTGAGTTCTGATTTCCACGGCTTCTGAGAAGGGAGGTGATTCTTAATACATTTCCATGAAGATTTTCAGACACAATGAAGTTCAATGTCTACTAGGATTACAGGGTTACTACCTTTTTAATTTCAAATACCTTCAACAAAGAACAACCAGACGTGGTGACGCACTCCTGTAACCCCAGTGCTGGGGAGGCTTGGACAGGAGGATCACTACAAGTTTGAGCTGGGTAGTGAGACCCTGAGCCAAATAAAAAAAAATATATATATATTTTTTAACATTTAAAAAAAATAACAGTTAAAATAGGGACTGTCTTTCAAATAAAAATTTCTCAAGAACAATTAACACCAAAATACAATTTAGGAAAGCTAAAACATTTTAAAAGAAGGTCTGTACAAACAAGCAGTGAACCAGAGGCATGTTCATTTATAAACAGGAAACACTTAGAAGATAGAGTACCAAAGTGAACTTGATAAATAAGGAGAGAACATAATGGAAAGGAACCCTCCAAAGAAAGGCACAGTGTCCATCACAAAAATCCCTGAAGGCATAACAGTGGTGGCTGCAGTGCTAAGGAACAAACGTCACTAATTAACTCTAAATCCACTGTCACGTGATGAGAAAGACTCCACTGCCTCTGCACAAACACTGTCCCTGCAATCAGGATGCTTCTCTTCCTACCCCACCCCAGTGCATTATGGGAACTCAGGACCCCGTGCTCACCAGGCAGGCGTTCTGCTGCTGAGTTACGTCCTCAGCCCTCCACGTCCTTCTTCAGAGTGCACATTTAATTCAGTGCAGCCAAGGGAAGAAGGTAGCTGAGGACGGACTCCACTCAGGGACCACTTCCTATCTCAGCCATAGCGACAGCGACTGTAATGGAGGCCTGGCAGGAATTCTGAGCAGCAGGGCACCTCGCACCCACACATGACTCCCCACCACTTCCTGCTAGCACAAAGGAGGGCAAAGAGGACCGAGTCGTGCAGAGCGCAGAGCCTAAGGTTCCCAGGGCTGTGACTGAATCAGGAGCATTACAATAATTTCACTGATTTCAAAACCCGATTCCCTTTCATTTCTTTTTGGTGAAACTGGGGATTGAACTCCGGCCCTCGCACTCGCCAGGCAAGTGCTTATTCTACTGAGCCATCTCCCCGGTCCCCCTTTCATTTCTTTTCTAAGCTTTTTGGTCCAAATTTCGTTCATATTCAGTTCAGGGTAACAACACACAAAGATAAAAAAAAAATACACATAATATTTGTATTGACAGATCAGAGTCCTCTATGTATATCGTTATTAAATTTATATTTTAAAAGGGAAACATTTTTCTGTACAATTTAAAATAACATTTTTCCATTTAAAAAGTAAAATTCATGTTCATTGTAAAAAAATTTGGAAAATACAGAAAATATAAAAAGAAAATAAAAATTATTTATGCAATATGACCTAGACATAGCAACTATAACTACCTTCCATTCTTCTTTAGTACAGTAATTACAAAGTCTTGTACCAAGCATTTCCAAGCAATTCAAAGAAAACAGATTTTTCTGTGCAGTATCACATTAGAAGTCCTAAGCAGTATATACTTTAAGAAGTAATAGCCTGGCATGGTGGGGCACACCTGTAATCTCAGCACTCGGGAGGCTGAGGCAGGAGGATCATTGTGCGTTTGAGACCAGCCTGGGCTACAAAGTGAGTTCAAGGCCAGCCCTTAGTGAGACCCTGTCTCAAAAATACCAAAAAAAAAAAAAAAAAAAAGCAATGAAATAATTGAAACAAAGAATTGAAACTGTCTGCATTTGCACACAATGACTTATTTTATTTACTTAGAATTTCAAGAGAATCTACGGACTAGATCTTAAAATTTAGAGTAGCTAGTATAAAAAATAACTTTTAAAAAGTAATATACTTAGTCACTTGTAATAAACAAATAGAAAACACAAAGGAGAAAAAAAATAAGGATTCCATTCAGTTGTTATCTAGGAATGCGTATGTCCAGAAAAGACCTGAGTGTGCTGTTCTTGGAGGCTTGGGTCTGGGAAGGCAACCAGCTCCCTGTGTTGGTATAAGCTCTCCCCAAATGACAAAAGCAGCTAAATACACTTTAACGGTACAAACCGTGACGGTTGTACTGAGCACCTGCTTCTTTGTGGGAGTCTGAAACCCTGGTATGTAACAGAAGGTATCTCTATGACTAGTCCCTAGCAACAACCCTGCAAAGGGCCTCTAACAAGCTACCCTGATAGCCACCTCTGGCGAGCCGTTATAACTGTCGCATGACAGTCGTATACCCTATTTGACGCCAAAGGAGAGTTGGCAGCTTTCCTCTGAACTCTGCTCCTTGAGCCTTTGTCCTTTACTGAATTTGTTTTTTAGGTTTTTTGCTCTTATAAATCTAAGCTGTGAGTTCAACTACATGATAATACTGGGAATCTGAGTAAATCACTACATCTCAGGATGACATGGAGGACATACTTTCAAATACTCACAGAAGGAGAAAAAAGACTTGAGTAAATGAAGTGTTCCAACGTGCCTGGAAATGGGAAGAAAGGCAACCCACAAACCCACCCCTATCACAGGTATGTTTAATACAATTCTGATCAATACACTTGCAGGGGTTTTTAATGGCTCTTGGTTAGTCAATCCTAAAATCAACATAGAATAGTGAAGAGCCAAAGTTAACTGACTGTGAAGAAGAAAAACAAAGCGGTAGAATTTTCTGAGTCTGGTTTCAGAAATTATGATACAACTCTAGTAATTAGGTAACAGGGACAACAATTCAACAGGACTTTTCAGGGAATTTGATAACATGACTATAAAATTTATAACAAGAAGAAAAATCCCCAGAATAGTCAAGATACTCCTGATAAAGATGAACCCAGCTAATGCTATAAAAGAAGGGTTATAAAATTATAGAAATTAAATGAGCAGACCAATGAAAAGAATAGAAAGCCTCAAACCATATCACCCATAAATGTGAAATAATGGTATTTGATATTATGGACCTTAGGAAAGGATCAATAAATGGGCTGGGAAGAGAAGCTATTTGTACAGGGAAAATAATACAAATCTCTATCTGATACTATTTTACATGTTCTATATTTCTGAAATACTGCATAATAACTTGACTAGACACACACTGGAATATCTTATTATACTGATAAATCACAGGCTGACAATCACAATTTTCTAACCTGTCCTCCTTGTTGGAACCCTGAGGGGTTCTCAATTTATGTAGGTAACACATAACCTCAATTTAACCCCAGCTTTCAAAATAATTTGAATCTCACCTCATAGATCCTGGCAATGCCACAGAGCAGGGTTACTTCCCCTGGAAATTTGTCTAAGCCTTGTTTAAAAAGGTTTAAAGCAGTTACAGGTTGGTCCAACGCCATGTAAACCTATAAGCAAAACACATTTAAAAAAAATCAATTCTTAAAATAACGAAACTATGGCTTAGCAACAAATTATCTCCTAGATATCCTAGTAAAAAATTTTCAGGAATGTGCAGAATTAATTGCCAATTGTGTTACAGCATGATTGCCACACATTATACTGAAAGGTTTCCTTGAACAATTATTTATTGTGGATGCCAGGCAGCAACGAGACAAGAAATCAGGAGAAAACCCCTTCAGGCTAGAGCAGATGTGTGTATGTCTAGAGGCCGGCAGTAAGGAAGCAAACAGGAGATCAGAGTTGAGGTGCTGAAGAAAGAGGGACAGAGCCAAGCAACAAGGTCTGAAGGGGCAGCCACGCCGAGGCCGGTTCCTCCTCCACGAGAGAGGACACAAGGCTGTGAGGCGTGGTGTCAGAGAGCGGAACCATCGAGGGCTTGATGGCTTCCACCTGACCAGGAATGAGACCGGGGCACACTTAATAGGAATTTCTGAAATAGAGGAGGAGGACGGTATGGGCCCTTGCTTTCCTGAATTTGGATCTACTTTCTCGACAGTCAAGTTGTACTTTGACAAAAAGCCCAAATGGAGAAGCAGCCAACTGCACGCAGCATTTATCTCTCAAGTATGAGATTAGAGGAATGGATATGGATGAATTCTGCCTTACACAGTTCGGGGCTTGTTTTTTTTTAAATATAATACAATTACAAGTACAACATATTTATTTATTTATTTATTCTTTTTTTGTATTTTTTAGGGAAGCGTCTACAGGGTGTTCAGGGTCTCCCTACTAGATTGGACTCCTACTGACCCGCTTGTTTACAACTTTACAAGTGCTGGGATTACAGGCACGTGCCACCATACCCAGTCTCAATTGCCATCTCAGCACACCCCAGGGGCGGGGCCAGTATGGCGGGCCTGGGGATCAAACCCCGGGCCCCTGAGCCTGCTTGCAGGTGCTTTAATCCACTGAGCTACTTGGCCGGCCCTAAGTACAAAATATTTAATAAAACAGAAATAAGACTGGGTTATTGAGTGTGTCTCAAAGTCTGCCTCAGGATTACTTTTTAACCTTGACCCTAGATTTGTTCACTGGTCTTTGTCTCTCTCAGACAAAAAGCTACCACTTCCTGTTATAGTTGATCTTCTTTACCACATTTTTTAATTTGGGAAGTTCTGCAAGACACAGCAAGATGGTTCCACAACTGTCACTTTATCAAATGTTTTCAAAGTACCCTTGGAGAAGGTCAAGAAATTACTTTATCCTGACACAGCTGGAGTACCCCTCATCTAAAATGCTTGGGAGAAGAAGTGCTTTGGATTTCAGATTTCATTTGGATCTTGGTGTACTCACACACAGACATAACCCAGTGTCTTGGGATGGAACCCATCTCAACACCAAATTCATTTTGTGCTTCATCTGTACCTTGCCCCATGACTCAAATGTAATTTTATACAAAGTTTTTAGTGCACCTGCATTTTGACTGTGACTCATGATATGGCCTCATGTGTGGAATTTTCCACTTGTGGCATCAGGCCAGATACTCAAAAAGTTTCTGCTTTCTTAGATTTCAGATTTTCAGATTTAGAATGTTCCACCTTTACTGAGGTGTCTAGGTCAGTGTGCAGCTTTGCCTTGCCTGGGGTTGGTACTAAGCAGCAGCAAACAGGCTCTGGAGACGGAGAGACCTAAGCTTGAGCATTGGCTGTGTCCCAGGGACCCTGAAACACATACCCTTGAAGTCTCATTTTTCCTAAGAAAACAAAGGAAATGATAAAACCTACTTGCATAGTATTGCGAGGATTGAATCCAATGAATGAGAGAGAATGCCTTATACTGAGTAGGTGCTCAACTAAAAAAAGAAAAAAGATCTTTATTATTCTGGCAGAAATGAGTAACTAATAACCTATGTAAGCATGGTCCCTGTTCTCTACAACCTCTTCAGGTGTAAGATATATGTGCTGAAGACAAAAGGCTATTTTGGGACCTGTTACTTACAGGGCAATGAGACTATAGTATTTTTCTCTGTCCTAACGGGCCACCTTTCAGAAGAGTTTTCCTATTTTTCATGGCAATCAGTTTGTCCTGAGGTGGTTACCCCCTGTACATTCTTTCTCCCTTGCTAGAAAAATAAGTTAAATCTGAACACATCACTGTGCCAAATATTCCTTAAGGAAGTGGCAACTTGCCCCAGATTTCATTCAGATTAATAGTGTTTACTTACTTTTGCCAAATAGAGAAATGTATCTACCATTTCCTGCTGCTTCAGGGCTGATTTAAACTGTTTTTCTGCTTCACGATACATTCCTAACCTAAAAACAGCCATTAAAATAATTAGACATTCAACTTAAAAATAAACATGACAGCATCTTTTTAAACCTCCGGGACATGGATAGAGACAAATTACAGCTATGACAGCACAGAGAAGGTAATCTGGACACACGCACATCCTGACACGGGTGTCAACGTGGTACTGTTTAGCAATGTCGCCTCCCTCCCATCTTCACTGGATAGCTAATCCTCAAATGGTGTGGAAGGAGCCTGTCTGCCATGTAGCCACAGCGGGAGGAATAGCTTGCAGTAAGCCAGGTCAAGTCAGTTCACTACCAGAAGAGCTTATGATCAGCTGGGCATATAGCAAGTGACCTGAATAAATGCTTAGCGCCTCCTTTTTACTGGCAGAACAGAAAGATGCTTCTTTGAAAACATCTTCTGCTCTGAGACAAAAGCTCATATTTTTAGTGAGCCTTAAATATTTTGAGGTAAATAATAATGGCCACTGGAGTAACACAGCCACACTATTTTATCATTCTAGAAATCCTTTTGGTTTCTTTTCCTTCACTTGGCACTGGATATTGATGGTCTTAGTTACAGATCTGAGATTTGCTCTTTGCCTAAATATGACCATTCAGATGTCAGTGCCCACATCTTCTTCCCAGGAAATGTTTTCTTACCATTAAATCCATCACTGCAGCATATCTAGCTTTAATTCAGTCTGTCCTCAATAGATCTGCTAAGTTTTCTCATAACTACTCATCTTTAGCCATCTAAGAGCTACCCAGATATAATAATGTCCCATTTTTATAAAATAAAATCAAAATGATATACAGTAGATTTCTTTGAACTGCTTTCACTTAAAGGATTGGAAAAATAGCCTCGATCAATTTCCATACTCAAAGCCCCAAGCATTGGTGTGGCTGATACATAGCTGTTGGGAAATGGGCTGAAAGTGATTAAATGTGGCCCCAAAACTGCCTAAGTCAGAGAACGTGTGATGTTACAAAAGCTCCTGCCTCTTCAGGAGTCCCACAAATATCATAATAATATATAGAATATATATATATATATATATATATATATATATATATATATTACTAAAGAATCTAAAGCTCTGAAAAACAATGTATTTGTGTACACATTAACTGAGCAAGCAAGTCTTAATCACATGATTGAGGTAGTCCCTGGATTTTATACATGCTAGTCACTGAACTTAAGTCTGTATACTTTTATTCAATAGCTACCTCTTTCCAAAAGTGATTTTAAAAGAATTATATAAGAAGATACACATAAAACAAGAACAGTAAAACAGAATTCGATTTTTAAATAATATAAATGAAAGGATAAATAAATTTCAAAGACAAATCAATAGACAGTCACATATGGAGATTCATGGAAGCCAAAGAAAGGAAGAAAATATGAGTCATATGTTTTTTTCTTAATGCATCCTCAAGAGAAAACTTCCAGCACTATTGGAAAGGATTTTTCCATATGTATTCTTATGCAAAGAAAATTTAGTAAACCATGTTCAAAAAAGTCTAGGAATAATGGAAACATTAATCAAGCTCATAAATTCAGGCCAGTATAAGAGTCAGAATCGAGAGAAATAGTGTTTACCAGCTGCCAATTTTTTCTCTCCAATTTAATTCAACTAAACTGTCAAGTACCAACTGCATGCATGTTTTATGATATAAGAAGATGCAAAAATGAAGAAGGTAGGGCTAGTGAGATAGCTCAGTGGACTAAGAGCCTGCTTAGGCAAGCACAGGGACCAGAATTCAATCCCTGGTCCTAGGCACGCTGAGCCTGTGACTCAGTTCAGGTGTGGTGGTGCACACCTATAATCCCAGTGCTGGGGAGGCTGAAAACAGAAGCATCACTACAAGACTGAGCTGCGTAGTGAGGCCCTGTACCAAATACGTTAAGAAGAAGAAGAAGAAGAAGAAGAAGAAGAAGAAGAAGAAGAAGAAGAAGAGAAGAGGATAGCAACTTGTGTTCTCTTCACATACACAGAACCTTAATTGTATTACAGCCAATAAAAAAAAAGGTTTGAGGGTTTTTTGTTTTTGTTTTTTGCAGTACCAGGGAATTGAACTCAGGACCCTGTGCTTGCCAGGCAAGTGCTTATTCAACTGAGCTATTTCCACAGTCCCAAGAAAAGGTTTGAAAGCACAGAAGAGGGAGTCAGCCAGGAGTTTCAGGAGAGAGTGACAACATGATCTGATGTGATGGTGGACGTAGAGGTGCGTTGGTGATGGAAGCGAATTACAACACAAGCACACAGGCAGGCAAGAAAGTATGTAACATGTTAAGCAAATGCTGAGGAATTTGGCATAATTGACAAGGACATTGGACAATAAGAGTAGTGTGACAGAATGTCAATGTGTAAACTGGAACAAGATTATGATGCCCTACTTAAAAGCAAGACCTCTTTCTAGTGATGAGAATCACCAGGGAACCCAACAAAGGCTGCTTTTCCCAACAGTTATTCTCCCTGTATGCAGGGAGGATTGATGGGGCAACAGACTGGAGGAGGCAGAAACCTGGGTGAGAAGCTACCATAAAAACCCAAGCAAATGGCACTAAAAGCCAGAACTGGGATGCTAGAGTGGGAATGGGTAGCAAGGGAGCCATTCTTAGAGTTTTGCAGAGGTAAAAAATCAATAGAACTTAATGATGAGCAGCAAAGGGACAGAATTCAATTTCAGGTGGCAACTTCTGGTAATCCATTCTTAACCTCTGCTGTTGAAGTCAGGACTTCCTTCTCTTGGGTCCCAGTGCACTCTACCACAAGAGGATCATACTTGAAATGATCTACTGTCTACTGGAACCATTTGAAAGAAGGGACAAGCTGATGTATCTTTGTAATCCAATTTAATGAGAGTAGGTGCTCACTAACTATTCTACCGAGTGAAAGCATACAGGAATGAACACTGAATATATAACATAAAGATGAACAAGCACTAAAGAACAGAGGAGAACAAAAATTTAATATAACAAGGTGTACTCATTTAAATGTCATCACATATGGGTAGCAGAAGGAATCAGATTTGTGTTTTTCCTTACTAAAGATTTTTTAAGGTTCTGTTTGGAGGTGTAAGAGTTCAAAACTATCTAATAAATTGTACCCATAAGTGTTTAATGTTACAACAGCCTAAAATTACCTTGGTAAAAAATATTTCCTCAATCCAGAAGAAGGAAAAAATACTTTCTTCCTAGAAATTCTGTAGTCAGTATTAATACAATCAGAAGTTCTATGTGAAATATCTAGATGAAAAGTAACCTTAATTTCAATAGCTGAGTACTTCATTTATATTCTTCGTGTTTCTCACAGTGTTTGAATAAGAGCTAAAGTTCATAAATAAACCAGGCATGGTGACACATGCCTGTAATCCCAGCACCCAGGAGTCTGACACAGGAGGATTGTTGTGAGTTTGAGATCAGCCTGGGCTACAATGTGAGCTCAAAGCCAGCCTGAGCTGCACAGTGAGACCCTGTCTCAAAAAGACAAACCGAGTCCTAGCCCAGGTCCGGTGAGTGTGTGGAGAGCTTCTTGCTACCTGCGCCGGCGGGACCAGTCCCAGCTCAGGCGCAGCGTGGGCCGGACCCTCTCCCATCCCCTCGGGCCACCCCACACCACTCTGCCCTA